TGAGTCCAAATTAATAATAAGATAAATAATACAATAAAAATATAAATAACAATATAGCTAACACTCCCTTAAACTTAAGATGTAAAAGTAGAATTTAACTGAGTTTGTATATGAGTAACCAGAAGCGGCGGAAAAGAATAGACTTAATGATAATATATGCAGATCAAAAAGAGATGTACAATTCAATGACGAGCATCTTGGAAAATAAAGAGACAACTAAGCTCAATATGTTTGGTACGCTTATAAAGATATTATTATCCGTCATCTTCGTAGCACTCTGACTATCACAATGAAAAATTGTAGAAGATGATTGAGGGACACCAATATCATGAGTAACCGATATAGCTAAAATAGTTCTAATGTAAAGTTATCAAGGACAAAGTATTCTGACTCAATATGGTATTCTCTCAAGAAATGAGAGAATCATCTAAAAAGAAGTAGAAATCAATATTTGAATGACAATTAGTAGGGTCACAAGCCCAATGCGCATCAAAGTAGCCGCTAAGTTTTAATAAGAAACAAACTGAGAAATGTAAACCATGTAGGAAAATACCATTGGCATAACGAAGGATATTTAAGATGACGAAGTGATGAGAGGTCCTCGAAGCAACATTCACAATATGAATTACATTAACTATATCAGGACAAGTGACAGTCAAATAAATCAAATTTTCAAAAAGTTGAGAAAAGACAAGAAGAGAATTATCATGAAGAGTAAATCGAACATTATAGGCAAACAGTATAGAGATTGTACGACAATCAGTAAGGCCAATCAATGAGACCAACACAAGAAATAAAATCAGATGCATACTTAGCTTGAAATTGATAAAAACCATTTGATGAATTAGAGACATCAAGTCTTATAAAGTAGTGAAGTTGACTTAAACTCTTTCATTTCAAACTGTTGATGCAAACATATTTGTAGATCAGAAATACCAAAAACATCATCCTCTGTGATGATCATATTATCACATAAAGTAATAGAATGACAATTTTCGAGGACAAATGCCAAAATAACAAGCCAAAATTGTGACAATTCATAGTGAAATATAACTTAAACATTACAGAGCTAAAGGTAGCATATCAGGCGCAGGGCTTCTGTTTCAACATATACAAAGCTGTACATAAGCGACAAATCTTCTCAAAATATAAGACACCTACAAGAGAATTCATATAAATTTCATCAATAGTATTGTCATGTAAAAAGGTTTTTAACATCCAACTGAAATAGAGTGAACAATAACAATTGTAAGGAGACAACAAACAACATTAAGTCAAGCAATTGAAACAAAGGTCTTTTTATCGTTGATCTTATATTATGTAAGTAACCCTTAACCACCAAACGAGCTTTGTTGTGTTTAATGAAAGCATCTCAATTTGTTTTATTTTAAAAATCTATTTGCACCCAATGAATATCTTTTTAAAATATAGATCCACCAAATCTCAAGTATGAGTCTTTCCCAAAATTGAAATTTATTATCCATAATTGTTGTAATAATAGATTAGCACTTGCCTCACGAAATGACTTAATCTTGTAATGGGATAAAATGATAGAATAACAATGATAGTCAATGAGGTGAGTAGAAGGTCTACTTATACAAATGGAACTGTAGTGATCATAAGTAGATTCAGGAGGAGACATCAATTTAGAAGAGATTGAATTCAAAAGACATGAGGAGGGAGACTAATAAATGAAATTTGGTATAGAGAAGAGATAGGTGTCGGGAAAGAGATTAGAGAAAGAGAATGAAAAAATTGAAGAAAACGAGTCAAACGGTATGCTAAACTTGAATAAGGTGAATAAAGAAGTGTGTTCCCAAAATGTGACATGATGTGAGATACGTAACATATTAGAGATATAATTCCAACATCTAAACTCTTTATATTCTACAACATATCCCCAAAAATAACATAAATGACTCATAGGTTGTAGCTTGTTTTGCTCATGGAGAGGTAGAAGAACAAAACGTTCACAACCAAAGGAATGTAACATACTATAATCAATAAACTGATTGCATAATAACTCGATGAGACTAATGTTATGGATAACATACAAAGGTAATATATTAATAGTGTAAATATGTTTCAAGACTGCTTCTCCCAAAAGTGATCAGGACATTTAACATATACGAGAAAGAGCATGAATAATATTGAAATATGACAATGTTTGCATTTTGTCCCTCCACCTTGTTGGAACAATAAGAACATGAACACTACATCATGATAACTTGACTAGAGAGAAATTATATAAAAAAAATGAGCGAATCATTGTACTCATAAATATTATTAGTACGCAAGATTTAATAGAGCATGAAAATTGAGTGTGAATCATCTAAGAAAATTGAATATATATTGGATAATTAAAAATATTTTTTTTTAAAAAATAAGCTAATGGTGTGTTTGTTTGAGGGTTTGGATTTTGAATTGAGATTTGAATAATAAAATTTTTAAATTTGAAGAGTTGTATGATGTGATATAAATAGGTGTTGATGTGATGTTTTGAATGTAAAATTGATTTTTAGTATAATATAAAAAATAGATGTTTGATTTGATGTTTTTTACGAAAAAAATGGGATGAATAATGTATTTAAAATCTAATCGCCCAAACCAACACACCCTAAGTAAACCATGAAAATTGTTAGAAAAATACTTTTAATATAATTTTCGAAAGTCATTAATAAACGCAATATGAGAGGGACATCAAATATTAGACTACACTAAAACCAAATATTCAATAGCAGTACGTAAATAGCAAAATTGTTCTAATACCATATTAGTTTTTAAGGAAAAAATTAAAAATTATATTAAAATAAAATGAGTATATATATATATATAATATGATGGACTTTGGTCTAATCTAATAATAATACAATAACAATATAATGGCAAAAAAGTAAAATCAAAGATTTTTAGTGTGAGTTTTATCCGGTTTTTTTATTATTTATATATATAAAAAAAGAATTCCTTCCAAATATGAAATCAAATATTTCTATTTTATTTTTATATTACACTATAATTTTATTTTTTATTTACTATATTATACTAATACATATTTATATTATATCAAATAATTATTTTAATTAAAAAATTTAGTACTCAAAACACACTCTAAACAACCACAAATTGTGCATGTTATTGTTTGTTTCTTTATTTGCTTTTTTTTGGTAAGATTAGGACACATAATATAATGCTTGCCACCATTTGAATCAATACTACTCCCTCCGTCCCAAATACCGTGTCTGTAGATACGATATTTTAGAAGGGGTATAATTAGTAGATAATTAAGAATGTATTAGTGAAAATAATTATTCTATAATATAAATAATTATAAATTAAGATTAAAATAACTAATTGGTTTAATTAAAATTAAAAAAAATAAAATTAAAAAATTTAAAATGAGATTAAAGTGTGTAATCATTTTCCAAAAAATGAAAGTGACATGGCATGTGGGACGGATAGAAACGACAACATGAACATGATATTTGGGATGGAGAAAGTATAATTGTACTATTTAGATGCTCATCCCACACTAGTCACTATCTTAATTATTAGTATTATTATTTCCACATTGGGCGATAACTTATTTAAGAATTTTTACAATTTTTTTATCATGTAGTCTATCGGTAAATTTTATAGATATATATATTTATGTTTATATTATATTCATATCAATATTCAAATTACTATTTTTTCGAAAATCCGTAATAATATTATCACATTTAACTCATTATCTTTATAATAATTACTTGTTTTATATATTTTATATGTTTGATAATATATAAATAATATTTATTATGTTATATTATATTTTAATTTAAAAATATTAATTTATATAATTTTGATAATATTATATACTTTATTCATCCCACATATAATATTATATATTTTTATTTTTTTTATATCTCATATTACATGTCATTTTTTTTCTAAAAAAATTTATATATTTTAATAATATTAAAATTTAAAATTTTATATTTTTATTTTTTTTTTCAATTTTACTTAAACTAATTAGTTATATTAATTTTAATACATAATTATTTGTATTAAATTATAATTAATTTTACTAATATATTTTTAATTATTTTTACTAACACACCTCTTAAATTCTCGTGTATATAGTAATCAAAACTTAATATTAGAGACGGAAGGAGTATAATTCTTATTATTATTTGAGACATTAAAATCATTCGAATTTGTCAGATTAATGACATTAGAAATTTAAAAGTTGAAATAAACTTGAATTAATACATAGGTCGAAGAATGTCTTTAAAAGTTGAAATAAACTAGAATTAATACATAGGTCGAAGAATCTTTATTTATGACAATTTTGTTAAAGAACTAGTCGAAGAAATTACTATGCTTATTGATCAGTTGAAATTGAATATAAAAATTTAAAGAAATTTAATTTTAAAAATGTGTAGATGGACCATAGTATTTTGAAATAATTTGAAGATATATTTGTATAAATAATTATTTATAAATTTAAAATTTTTGGTAATAATTAATTAAATAATTATTTTTTATTTTTATTAGAGATAATAAATTCTTAAAAATAATATGTGCATGTTGACTAACTAATGATAAAGTAACTGGATAAATAACTTCTGTGAATTTGTTATATTCTCTTATGTTTATATGAATTCTTAAAAATTTTTGTGAGTTATTCTTTTATCATTTCAAACTAACTATTTGTGCTATTTGTGATGTAATGTCTTAATACATTTTATCTGAAATCAATATATCAGACCTAGTCGTCCAGTAAGGGATAACCTGTTAGTGTAGGGGTTGCACTTGTGACCATTACGTCATGACAATAGACAATGTCATGACATACACAAGTTACGTAATAATATATGATCTTAACAAATAACAAGTGTTCAAAGAATAGCCCACAAAATATATCTATACAGATATGTTGATTTGCCCATAAATATGCAAAAAGGAAAATTATTGATACAAATACTAATACTATAATATTGTGTCATGTACCAAGTATAAAATAAAATAAACATACGCATGGTATAAATCAATAATCGGACAACACAGAGAGACAAACAAGTAATTAGCAACAAGAAATTATGCTGCAAATCTACCAAAACTTACATATATATATATATATATATGTATTATTTGAATCCTCTCCTCAACAATGATAATATTGCATTCACCTATGCTCTCTCACCAGATTTTATTCCGGCCGGACTGAATGTATTCAGTGATGATCGCCGTCCGGAGATCCACCCGGGCCCTCGACTTGCAACTGCCAATGAGAAAAAGATCCGAAAAGGTCACAGATATGCCGACAGCAAACAATTTGGCTCGGTGACTCTCCTCTTGTACTTACCACAAAGTATTGCGAGCATACTGGGCATTCCTGAGGCTTTCCCTTCTCGAGCCAGAACCAAACAACATCGTGCTCGTCCTCTGTTGAGCAGAGGAGTTAATTTGGATCGACGCAGTCAGAAATTAGTTCAGCAGAAGTAAATGAAATCATCGAAATGAAGTGACGTTATTGGTTCGTTGATTACCGCCTTCACCGCCAGGGCATCCCACGATTCTTTTGTCGTAGTAAGACTTGATCACAGCAGGTTCTTCCTGTGTGCATTGGAGGTGAGTGTCGAAGAAGAAAGGCAATAATAATTTTATTACCGATTACTCGTTTTCACATGAATGCAGCTCACAAGGATCTGATTTAAAATGTTTGTTAAGAATAGCAATCGACGTTGAATCATAAACAACCGTATCATTTAAAATCAACAACCGTAACTATATCACCTTAAGTAACTATTTCATCATCACTTTTAACCAACCATAGAAAAGTTTCATTCATTTTTAATACTAGTTGCTCTCTAATACACATGTTGAGATTCATCGAAATATAAGTTAGGCTGAAACCTCATACAGGAATGAATTTCATACTCGTTTTCTTGAATAAATACACGCGCAAGAAAATGGAATGTACAGAATCAAGATTACAAGATATATAGCTTCCCATCAAAATTCCCAAACTAAAATGTCCATATGAAGTAAGAGTTGAAGATCATCCTACGGAACCACTTAACGAACACATCCACACACATACAAAAGCTTCAAATATATAACCTAAAAAATGCAATAGGTATAGACAAAGATTGTATCTAATAGTGCCTCCATTCGATCTTCCATGATAGGTCTAATGGTATATACACAATCTTGAATTCAAACTAGTCCTTGAACAAAAAATCAGGCCCTTCTCATACTCATAAATTTCGAAACATCATAAGTATTATCATAACTAGAATATATCTTGGTTGATTTGCCACAGTAAGATAATTTCATCATAAGCCACAACAAGTTAAGACAATCTCAAGGCTAAACAAACAGAGGAAGAAACAAATTAGAGGTAGAAAGATTTCATATGCTGCTGACCTTTGTTCCAAAAGGACCAGATGGGTAGTTAATTTCCAGGATATCCCTTCCCTAATTAAACCACATTGAAATTAGGGCAAAAAAAAATGAAGAATCAACAAATGAACCAACAATTTCAAAATCGACAGTATACAGACGTCTGGATAGCTAATCAATGGCAGTGAAGCACTTACTTGGAGCTCAGCTTCGAGCTCTTCACGCTCATGACCAGTAGCAATCGGCATTATATCCTCCACTCTCTTACCCACAGCTCCTGCGAATTACAATCCATTAAATCAAGGAATGCACAATCTTAACATCAAATTAGCATACACTGAAGACAGTACACGAACAAACCAGATGCGATGCTGAATTCGCGACATACGGCGGGGAAAATGCGTAGAACATTCTCCGAAGCTTCGGAAGAGCTGACGGCGAATCGTGCGGGTCTGGAAGCGGATCGGGCCGGGCAGAACGTTCTGAGGTGAATAGCGAGCCTTCTAAACATGGTTCGGATTGAAAATTTCTCGGAATTGATTCCCGGTCGCCTTCCGTGGATCAAGAACGAAGCCTTGATCAGTTGATCTGCCTGTAGAAAGATATCTTCGACAGAAAATGGGAATTGTAGTGAAAAGTTTTGATCTGTAAGGTAAGAAGATGGTGGTCTGATTCGCGCACGTGTTTATTATTATTCCACACTAACTTCGGATCCACCATTTGACTCTGTAATTCGGTGTTTATGTGTGTTAAAAATTTGAGCTCTGTTCACACGCGTATATATGTTCATAAATTTTCGCACATAATTGATTTTTTTCTTAAAAGAAAATCAAATCAAATATACAAAATACTACATTCATCACCTACACTATATTACACAAATATATTATTTTTATATTACTAATAGTGACATTTTTGTCATTTTCACTGCAATTTATTATAATACTAATATTAAAAAATCCACGTGCAAAAAGTAAACGACAACTTTGCACCATGACGAAGGGAGTATATATTTTTATAAAATATAAAATAAGTGGAATGAAAAAAAAAAAAAAACCACAATGTGAACAAAGTAGATAGAGCCAAAAAAAAAAAAAAAGAGTATTTCAATCTAAAGTATTAAACAAACAAATTTTATGTTTTTTTTTTGTTATATTCGAAAACAAATTAATAGTAGTATTATATATTTTTATAACATATACTCCATCAGTCTCTCTCTAAGGGTTATATTTATTTTTAAGGTACTTAATATTAAACATATTCTTATATTTGTATAATTATTTTTACAAATATTATTATATTAGTATTATAAGAAAAATATTTTTGCTATTCATTATAATAATTAATATTTAAAATAATAATTAATATTTAAAGGCCAACAAAGAGTAAATATAATATTTAGAGTTGGATTGATATAATATACATTGACAAAACCACATGGAGACTAGGGGTATATAGTTAAGAAAATTAATAAAATGACCGTATTTTTAATAATTTGTAATTCCAAGTTCTATTTTTTTATTTAATGATGTACAAGTATTATAAAGATAAATTTTTTTGCTATTGATTTGTACTACGTTATACATGGACGAAACCACGTGGAGATTAGGAGTATATAGTTAAAAAGAATTAAAAAATAATGTATTTTTAATAATTTGATATCCCAAGTTTTATTGTTTATACTACCTCCGTCCCGGAAAAATAGTAACATTTTTTATTTTTTTCTACGTATATTTTTTTAATATTAGTATTATATTAGTTTTATAGTAAAAATGAAAAAAATGCTAATATATTGAAAATTTTAAGGGGATTAACTATATTAAGTGAATAATATAATTACTAAATAAGGAAATGGATAAAAAAGAAAAATGGTATTGAGGGAGGAATTATTTATTTTTCTGTAGAATAATAAAATTTATATAAATTTGCTATAGTATTTAATTTTTTTAGTAAAAGATAATAAAATTTACTATATAGTTACGGTAAATTTTTTTTCCCGCACATTATTTTTGTCCAATTTTTTTCTCTCTATATATATATATATTTTATACACGGCTACACCAAAGAAAAAAAATAACATCGAATTTATAGAATCTAATTTATATGTTCTCCAAACTCAAGGGCTAGTATCACTGATAGTATACAATATAAATATTATATAAAATAAAATTTTATATAATACAATTATATAGAAAGTAATATAAATATTTACTTATAATTAAATAAATTAATTTTACTAATAAAAACTTTTAAAAGTATATAAATATATTTATTTATTGAAAAATATTTAAAATAAATTTTGAATGAGTGTCGTACGTAATATTTTGAATAATGATGGTAGTTGGTATTCAAATAGACCCATATTAACTCATATTTTTTAAAACATATTATTGTTATTATATTTTTATAAAAAACAATAATTAAACTTTAATTATTATATCAATATCAATAATGTGCTATCTAAACTATTTATTGGCAATTTTTTGAATTCTCGATAAAAATGGGCATAGTAAAACTCAAAAGCTTAAACCAAACGATATTATTGAAATTTGGCATGAAGTAAACGAATGCTTTTAACAGCGGACAGAGTATAAAATTTCCTACAATCTACTCATATTTTAACACACATTAAATTAACCTTTAGATTCAACATGCCAATTAATTCCTGGATACAATATTATGCGGGAAAAATAAATAAATAAATAAAAATCCATCAACTTCTTCGAATTATGGTCTTACCATTCTAATTTACTATATTGTGAAATTGAGATGATAACAACAATTACAATAATATATAAACGAAAGCAATATATTGTACCTGTAGTAGTTTAAGAGCAAGGAAGATCACTCACGCAAGGGTAGTTTGTTTCAGTCTCTTGGATTTTGGCTCTGCTTTCTTATCATCCTCCAGTTTTTGCCTCAAACTTTGCAGGTCTTCATCACTTACCTGGCCATTCAGCCTTCGGTTCAGCTCGTACGCTTCGTGCAATATCCGCTTGCATTCTTTGCTTGCAAGATCATGAGACACGACTACGACAGAGACAGCAGACAAGGTTGAGGTTACTACTTTTTTTTATCATCAGTGACAACTGTAAGAAACTATGTAGCAACATTGAATTTCAAGATCATGAGGACATATTAAAAGCTATGAAAAAAAGGATGATGCATTCTCGAAGGGACCTTCATTGATATTGTGCTGATAAAGTTGTAGAAATCTGAAAATAATGTGAGAGTGAAATTGATAAGAGATTCATGGCAACCTGGCTTGGGATAATCTTTTCCAATTATACATTTGGCTTTCAATTGTATGCCGGGAGGAGCTGTCCATGGCTCATAAATGTACTCCTTAGGCATGTCTGCAACCAAACCTTCAAGATGATGAAACTTATAGAGCAAAATGGATATAAAAAAAAGCATTAGATTGATATGTCACCTTTTAGTACAGGGAGGAAGTGCCTAATATAGTTGCCATTTGGGTCATATTTCTTGCCATAATTGATTGGAGAATAGATTCGGTTATACTGAAAAGAAACAGACAGTGGTATGTTTCAAATACTTCAGACTAAAGCTATGAATCAACTTCTATAAAAGAACAAATCAATGCCAGATTAAAATCGAAGGACTTGTGCATAAAACAAATGATTAGATGGTTTTGTTGAACCTGGTAGAAGAAAGATGAGCATGATAACCACAACCAGTTAGCATTGTTGAGTGACCAATCAGAATCAATAAGAAGTCTCTCAAAAACATCGCGTCCTTTCTCCCAATGTATGAGCTATCAGCATTCGAACAATGATTAGTGAAAGATTCTATAATCAACACCGCAGTTAAAGTCAAATTACCAGATCTCCTCGAGTTAGAAAACAAGCAACGCAGTGTCGAGCAAGATGGTGCATCCATCCCCACTTCCGAAGCTGTTTCAGCAAATGAAAGTTTTAAGGTTTTGCATGAGAACAAGAACGGCCAAAACTAGCAGACTGCATCAAAAAATGAAAACTGCATTGAACCTGAACCATTATGGCATCAATCCATGGAAATCCTGTCCTAGCATCTCTCCAAGCTTCCAGGAGTTCTTCATCAGTTTTCCATGGTATCTATAGTTATAAATTAAAACATACAAAATTTACACCGTGGCGAAACTCAAGATATATTGCATGATTGACGCTAGCATTTCGTGCATATAACTGAAAAGATCCTCAGACAAGCACTAGTTTAAAAATTCATTTTATGAGAGAAAATGAGAACACGGTGTTGGAAGCTAGTTCATTACATCATTTACTATGAATCATTAACGAAAAACTGAATAAATACTGTGTATTGGTAAGAGTACATGATCTTAAACAATCAGACAGGGAATAGTTTCAGTACCTGTTTGCAAATCCTATTGTTCTTCATTTGATCAAAATTAGGCATGCCAAAAGCAGCCGTGTAGAAGAAATCTCGCCATAACAACTGTGGGAATTCAGATATCAGTAGGGTTGGACTCAGTCACATTTACTGCAGAGTGATAATAACTAACCTGCCCAAGAAGGGAAACTGGTGGAGATGTGTGCTTTTTCACACTTCTCTGGACCTCTTGAAGACATTGGTAGAAATATCTGGAAGAGAGACAACCGAACTTCCAACAATTTGGAGAAGGGAATATTAGTTGGTATAAAGAAGTAAATATATAAAGATACTATATACAACTTACTTTTAAGTAAGGCGATAAAACAGTAGTTGATGGTTTGAGAAATGACGATGGATCTCCCTTTGGTTTTTCGAACTTGGCCACCCATTCCTGCAAATAAAGACCAGGGCATTTTAACTGTCAAGAGTACAAAAGGAACGAAAAAATCAGCACTCCATATATAGTGATAAAGAGAGAGTTGAGGTTTTTTTTTTTTTTTTTCACTGAATGAAATAAAAAAGTGTTCTCAAGAACTTTCATTCAGATCACCCGGCACAGTGTTAATATAGCTGACGAGAATATTAGTCTGCATACCTTGTCTGAAATTGATTTTCTTAATCTTCGCAATGCTTCTGATTCACCACCTTTGAAGGGAGTCTCGTCCTATGCATCAATCATCAATTTACAGACTTTTAAACAGGAGGATATTTAGAATATACGAGTGACTTCACACCTCTTTTGAATCCTCGTATCCGAGTTCCTTGACTGATGGAACTTCAGAGATTGCACAATTCACAACACTTCCAACAGGAGGAAGCCTGATAGGATCAGTTGAAATGGGAGATGAAGCCCAAGATGGTTCCCCAGCAAGTTTGACGAAAGATTGATAGCTCAGAGGTGGTGTGCCACCATTCTAATGGAAAAGAACAAAAGGAGTCAAACACACGTTCAAAGAACATCACTTTATTGTCATTTAGAATTTGTGAACACAGAATAATAGTTGTTCTTTCTTGACCTATGCTTGCCTTTTGTATAATTTCAGTAGGATTGAAGAGTGTGTGGCTCACAGGTGAGAAAAGTTCAACACCAGCAGCTGTAGCATATTTCTGTGGGATCAAACATTAACCTAATCTGCTTAAAAATTACCATAAAATACGCATGAAACTATTTGTCAACATAAGACATAACACACCATTTCCCCTGCATTTTGGGTTTCGAAGACTCCTAGTAAGATAATACAGATACATCAAATGTCAAAGAATTTTACCTTTACTCTATCATCCAAAGCCTGATAATATGGCTCCGTATCAAATTCAAAGCATAGCTTCTTTATGCTCCACTGGTACATCAGAAGGAAGTTGACTTAGAGGTGAAAAGTGTTAGAAGTATACTGCAGACCCCATCAATGCTAACTATTTACAATTTATGCTCTGCTCAGTACTGTCATTGTTCTATATAATTGCTGCTAGTGCTAGTTGCTCAGAATTCACAGCATAAAGATCATAGTTACACATTAAGCCAAATTCCAACTTAACTCCATCTCCCTCCACAATCACCAAAAAAAAAAAACGCGAAAAACAGCAGGAATCACCTCTTTCAAGCAGCGAATCAAAACCTCGCTAGGCTCACCCTCAAGCACCAGCAACCGCGAGCCCAACTTCCGGAGATTCAAGTCGAGATCCACCAGACTCTCGAGCAGGAACCGAATCCGATTCAAACCAGCGCGCTTGGAACCAGGCGAGAACGCATTCCGATCCGGCTCCATATAGTGCGGGTCGATCACAAACACCGGGTACAGAAAATCCGACCCCTTGGCAGCGTGCTCGAGCGCAGGGTTGTCGTGCAGGCGGAGCCCCTTCCTGAACCACATCAGCGAGCTCGATCTGGACGCCATTGTAGGGTTCAAGGAGGAAGGCAGTGAGAGAAGTGTAGGTCGCATTGATTGAATGAAACGGAAGTTGTGGCAATTCAAAATGAGAGAGTTATTGGCTTTTAAATGGGATACGTATTTCCCGCCTCCCAGCGGTTGGAACTAACGTGCGCGGCATTAAGGATGACTGAGGTGGCTTGCTAACTACCGTTACTAAGAGCACTATCGTGCGCGGTGCGCACTAGGCGCAGGTTAGAGGAACCACCATGAAAGTGGCCGAGAAATAGCCACGTTTCGTTTTAATTATTTTTAAAAAGTTTGAATAGGGACTCATAATTGGATATATTTTCAAAAAATATAAAAAACGATGAACCGCCTGTTCGAACGGCCGGTTACGGTTCGAAAATTTAGGAGCCGAAACCGAACCGTGTAACACCGGTTTGGGTTTCGGTTCGGTGGCGACCGGAACGCCGGTTTGAAAGCGGCGAACCCTAATTTCAAATCGCTCTCTGACTGGTAGCTCAGGTCCCTGGAATTCGAGGAAGAACGTAGGTAAATCTCTATTCAAGGTTTAAATATTTCTATCATCTTTGTTTCCTGTTTTTCGCATTTTGAATGTAATTCTGGATTTTTTGTCTGTTTACTTTTCCATTTTCGCCTATGGGTTTGCGTGCTTCTGTCCATCCTGCTAACTTTCATCTATCGATCTTGAATTGAATCTTTATTTTCCTCTACTCTTATTTGTAATCTAAGAAATTTAAAGATATGAGTCGTGCAAATTGCTTCACCTAATATTTGATGAGACTTAAATTTAAACAACACCATACTGCAGACACATTGTATCAATGAGTCAAAAAAGCCGGTGAATTTGTGATGCTATCCTCACCTTAGCTACTATGATTATCGTATAGACAATGGTGTTTGTCATTTTGTCAGAACTCTTGCCATTTTTGTTGTCTATTTTGTGGATGATCCAAAGTTTAGCTAATTTTGCGAAGCATGTGAATTTTATGCTCGAATTTGATAGTATCATTTTTTATTCGGCTGTGATTTCTCTAGGAATGGCTGGGAGTTTGGGATTTCTGATCCTAGGACTTCCAGTGTTGACTTCGATTTGTGAATCGGCCATTGTCAGTCCTGTGTCGGAATTTCATCGAGCTGCTGCGGCGGAGCTCTTCTTACCCATTGATGGGTCTTTTGGAAGGTCCCTTTTAAATCCTATCTACACCACTCACGCTTTCTCCGTTATTTGCTGATTGTAATTTGAATCTTGTTTTGTTCTGTGGTACGTTCACTACTTGATCCTGATAAATTTGGCGGTGCTCGGCTGTGTTTGCATGGAAGGAGGGAAGATTTAATCTTGTAGTTTATAGCAGCATGGACACTGTAATTAGTTTGAAGAAGAATGTCTGTATCTCAAATGGAAATAGATGTTAAATGAACTCATTTTCGTCGAAGTAATTACATGGGTTCTTACTGTTGCTCTAATGGGACATGATTGGTAGTTGCCTTCTTTAGTGTAGAGTGAACATGCTAATATGCTATTGATTCCAGTTTATGTGTTATACATGTTCTGCCCTTCATTCTCTTTGGCTTTTGGAAGGATAAGAACTCCCATGCAAGTTACTCTACCTATTATCTAGGATTTTTTTATTGCTCTTGGTGTTTTAGATATTGTGTTGAAAGCATATAACTTTTCATTTACAGTTCAAGATAATTGTTCAGCTTACCTTTCTGTTCCTACTCTCTCAGCCTGGAGGATACATATGAGGCATTAAGGACATATGATGTTCTAGGGATTGAAAAGAAATCTAATGTAAGACCATCTGCCTGTAATTTGTGGCCGATACCCTATCATCAACTTCTTCAGCTTTAAAGGATTTATTCTATGCATTAAAAGCGAATGGAATACTCAAGTGTGAGCTGAATAATGTTGCTTTTGAGGTATGCAAAGTCCACACCCCTTTTCTTCCTTAAATAAAAACTTGGTGGAATGCAATTTTTTTTTACAACTTTCTTCTATTGTGTACAGGGAATTGAATCTAGATTTAAGGATTCTCTAAAAGAAGCCAATTCACTTCTTGACTTTTACTACTCAATAGGGAGTTTGGTGCTTATAAAGGTAAGAAGATTTCACTAAGGCCTTCCTTGATGAATGAATTTTAGATTTACACATGCTGCTTGTATGGGAAAATTATATTCAACTAGTGTCTATTCTCAAAGGCTTAAAGAGTACCACCATTCTTCTTCTTATTCTTCTTATTTGTAATCTCCTCGTGCATCTTTTTCCTATCTTTGATTTTTCCTGTTATTTGGTTTCGAGTTTCATTTTGTTTATTGTGTGTGTATATGTGTATATATATATATATATATTTCCCTATCAGGATGCTTCTGGCTCTGACATTCATCTCGAAGATGCTGACAAAGTTTTTCGCTCTGTAAAGGTAAACCATGGATATTGTTGTGTCTTGGCTCAATAATTTTGCTCTGTCCTGAAGATGTTGCTGTATTTAGGTTTTTCATATACCTAACTTGCATTTGTTTTCTTGGCAGACTCTCAGTGAGAGTGATGGGCGCTGGCGCCATAGTTCCAACAATCCCGACTCCAGTAATGATGCTACTGGTAACTTATATGGCATTTTATAATTGGGGATGTTTTGGTTAAACATCTTGCATCGTTAGTTACTTTCACCACTTTTTGGTTCCACAAATGAACTGTTTGTCTACCTTTTACCGGGGATGTATTTTTCTATATGCTGAATGTTGTTAATAATCCTTTATCATTTATTTACAGGGGCAGCTTTAGAAGCTCTAGCTGGAGCTATTTCCTTAGCATCTTCTGAGATTGATCAATCTCTGGTTAGTATATTATTTGTTAATCTGTTTCCCACTGATTGTAACATTATTTTCAAGTTTGAAAAATGATTTTGATACCTTAAGTTCTTAGTTGAGATTCCATTTAAGCGTCTGAGCAAACTATGCTAATTCTATGGTTCTTTTTAAATATAATAATTACCTACTCTAGTAGTCGAGGATTAATAGCCAATAACTGAAAAGCACCCTAGGTTTCATCAATGGCCCTGTTTAGAATAATCAATTCAATTTTGCTCACCTTTTCTTTCTGAACTTTGTATTTTCATAATCTGTATTTTTGTCAATGTATCATGTGGCCATCAACTCTGTATATAAAGTGCGGCAAGAATGGTCCATTTCTCTACTTAGTGTTAATTGATTTCCTCTTTTCTTTTTTTTTTCTCTTTTATATTTCAATGAAGCATGTATATTGGAAATTTATTCTTTATATAGGTTTAATATTCTGATCAAGGTCTGCTTTTCATGCCAGATTACCACATTGAAAAATGACATCATAAAGCTTTTTGATGGCATCAAAAGATATGGTATGTGTTTTGTCTTCACCTCTTCACTTCTATTGCTTTGTGTGCACATTTTATTCCTCCATACACACTTGAATGTTTCTTTAGTGCTTTTTTCATTTTGAATACTGCTGCAATTTGCATTAATGGCACATGGTCTTGATGATTTTATCAATTCCTGTAAACTATTATGGCAGGAAGTAAGCAGATTCTAAATTCCTAACCTATTTCTTTTTGTTTTAAGTTTCAATACTAGCAATCTGGGGCTTTGATTTCTGTTGTGCCTGTCTCCTTTAATATTGCTCTTAACTATAATTGAGTCTGTTGTAACTTTTAATATTCTTAATTGGATGGCAGTAGCAAATTGTACTTTGACAAGAGCAGGAGAGTATTTCTGAACTACTTGTGTGATATAAATATGCTCTTGTTTGTAGATGATGGCAGTTGTTACTTCGATGAGAAAATAGTTGATACACATGGGCACCAGGGTCCCCTTTCAGCCTCAGCATCAGTAGTTCGTGGAATCACAACTTTTGCAGCAGTTGCCTCTGAAAATTTAAATGTATGTGTGCATACCGGATGCATTGCATTGTGGTTCCTATACTTATTTTAGGTTTTTAGCTAACTTGTGATCTCCCGGGATTTCACAACGGTAGCTTCCAGGTGAGAAAATTTTGGGTTTGGCTAAATTTTTCCTTGGAGTTGGAGTTCCTGGAAGTGCCAAAGACTTGTATTTACCAAATTGATGCCTTGTCTTGCTTGGAAAACATTAGGTATGTCTTCTGCCCTACAATTATCTGTATCCATCTTAAGGTTTTGTTTTGTTGCTTTCTGAAGCACATTTCACATAAAACTTTCCAGTCAATGCAATATAACTTTGTCGCATTGGAGGTTTGGATTTTGAGTTAGGATTTAAATAGTAAAAATTTTGAATTTAAATAGTTGTATGATGTGATATAAATAGGTGTTATGTGATGTTTTGAACGTAAAATTGATTTTAGTATAATATAAAAAATGAAAAAAATGAAAAATAGGTGTTTGATTTGATGTTTTGGGGAGAAAAAATGGGATCTACAGTGAAAATTAAATTCAATCCCCCAAACAATGTATTTCTAGTTAATTGGTAGATTAATACTCTCAACAACATAAAATATAGATAAAATAAAATAAAGGATTTATTTGATTTGTATTCAAATTTAAATTTTAATTAAATTGTATTTTGATTTCATTATTGAAATTATTATATTTGTACTAATAATATTACCACTAAATAGTAAAAATTTAAATTTAAATTATAAACTAAACAAACTCGTGTAAATAGTTCAAAATATAATTATAGATTTATTTGAGTGTTGGCATTTCTAGTGACACTACGAACATTCCTCCAATATTATAACTAAATGGTCAAGATGATGGGTATAATTAAATTTATATATGTTTAGAAATAATAATAAAAATATTGGTAATTTGTTTGATATGTTTTGTAGTAAAAACTATTTCACAAAAAACATTGAAAATTAACCATGAAATAAAAAATAAAAATAAGACCATTTATTTAGATAGATTTGTCTAAATGGTTCTTACAGTTTCAAACTGCCAGCTTTAATTTATCAAAATATCTAAGCGAAATTGAATATTTCGAATCACAATTTCGATTTTAATTTTACACTTTCAGTTTCAAAAGTGCTATTAAAAAACTGTTATGTTTATATTTATTCATTTTGTAAAAATTAAGTAATATATAAAGTTTGTTTAATTGTAGTTTGAAATTCATTTAAAATAAAATTTGAATTTTTATTAATAATACTTCCTCCGTCCCACTTATTATGTCCACGTTGTCGTTTCTATCTGTTCTATATTTCATGTTACTTTTTTTTTTTTTCGGAAAATGATTACATATCTTAGTCAATTTTAAAATTTTCGATTTATAATTTTTAAATTTTAATTAGATTAATCAGTTATTTTAATCTTAATTTATAATTATTTATACTAATATATTTTTAATTATTTACTCATTATATTCATTTTAAATTTTCGTGTCTATGGTAACTCAGACACTATAGAAGGGACGGCGAGTGTACTAATTATTTTTTATTAAAAGCGGTAGAGAATAAATACAATTTGAAATTACAAAAAAGAATAGGAATCAAAACCGAACTGTATGAAATGAAAATCGGTTTCGATTTCCATTTGATGAACCGAACCGGCGGTTCGAAATCGATTGGGAAGTGTAGATTTAGTACATCTTCATTTTTGTCCTTTTGTAGACAATCATTGTTAAAATATCCAAAATTGGAAGCAAATGTGGCTGCAAAAATGTATAAATTATTAATCATTGGTACTTACCACTTAGACAAATTAAATTTAAATGTACTGACAAAGCAATAATTGATACACAGCATGGGACAGCAAATCAATGATTAATTTTGCAGAAATAAATAATTAGAAGTTGACTCTACATTTAATTTTATTTATTTTGAGATACTACTGTTAAGAAGAATATTTTTAAGAAAAGAAAATTAATTTTTGGGGGATAAAAGAAATTGCATCAAGATTCCATCGTACATGGGAATTACCTGTCATGTTTGGTAAAATTAAAATTTCTCTCCTTGTCATCAAAATTTTATTATTATTATTATTATTATTATGATTTTGTCCGCTAAATTTAAATACAATTATTTTACATTTCGCACCAAAGATATACTCTCTTTGTCCCGTTGAAAAGTTATCATTTTTCATTTTCGTCTGTTCCAAAATAAGATTATCATTTTCTAATTTAGTAATTGTACTACCTACCTAACATAATAAATACCCTTACAACTTCCACTATATTACACAAATATCATTACTTTTATATTACACAATACTAATAGGGGCATTTTCGTCATTTTCACTACAATCCATTATAATATTAATATTCAAAAATCTACTTGCAAAAAATAAATGACAACCTTGCACCGGGACGGAGAGAGTATATAGTTTTAGTTGAATAGAGAGAGTAATAATTAATTTGTCACTATGTTTTTACTTACCTTATTTTATCAATCATTTAATAATTTTTCATAATCCCTACAAAGCATGTTAATATTCTTTCAGCACACATGGTGGAAATAACTTATAAAATTTAGACAATAATATATATATATATATATTGTATTATAATTCTTTCTCATATCATTTAAAAAATAAAATAAAAAAAAACATTGTTAATATTTAATTAATAATATAATAAAATACTGACAATATATTATTAACACATTCAACACATTTCAATAAAGTAATATAAAATGGTGAAATAAATTAAGCGCTATACAACACATTGCTAATACTTAATAAACAATTTATTTATTTAAATATAGACAAATATATTTTTTAATGTTAAATTAAAATTTATAAATACTAAATATATGTGAAATTACTGAATTACTCTTACAAAATTTAATTTGTTGAGTGTTCCCCAATAGCTGTTGGGATGATTGAGATTAAATTAGTACTCTGATAGCCTTATTTTGTAAGGTTGTTGATGTAATATTTAAAATTAAAATAAATATTACATATTATTTTTAATAAAAACTAGTTCGATCTAAGTTAATAAAAATTTAAATTACAAATGAAGACTAAAATATTATAGCTCATAGACAAATGTGAGTTCTTTTTTTTTTATTATTTTAATTTAAAAATATTTTAAGGTAGTTATTAAATGGTTGGCATAGATATTTGATATTGAAAATAGATATTGATCAATAAATTATGTAAATAATCTAGAATTTATATATATATATATATATATATGAGAATAATCATGTTTTTAATAAAGACCCAAAATCAAGAATATACAACATAGTTGGATACAAAATCCTATCATTTAAAAAAAAAAAAAAAAAAAACCCAAGCCAAAATCCTAAAACCTTTAAATGAATAAATAGACACACACAAATAAAATAAAATAAAATAAAAAAGAAATATACAGACAAACATATATATATATATTCAAATTCCTTTACAAACAATACTACAGTTTCCTAAACACAACCGGCGCGCCGTATTGCGGGTGCAACATCAACTGCAGGGCCGGCGCGTGCTTGTAAGTCGGCGCGAGCTCAAAAGAGAACCGCTGGAGGATCATCGCCACCGCTAGTTTGGCTTGAAGAACGGCCAGATTTTGTCCGACGCAGCGGCGCGAGCCGATCCCGAACGGCATGAAAGCCATAGGGTGGCTGGCGGCGCGCGCCACGCCTTTGGCAAATCTAGCCGGGTTAAATTCGTGTGCGTCGTGGCACCATAGACCCGGATCGTGATGGACGGCCAGGATTGGAATTAGCACCTCGGTCCCACCCAGAATGTGGACCCCACCCACCTTCACATTCTCTCTCGCCCGTCGGATCAACGCCACAGCCGGCGGATATAATCGCAGTGACTCCTTCAGAATCATTTCCAACTGCGCAAAATAAATAAATAAATAAATTGATTAATTAGAAGGGATATAATTAATAAATAATTAAAAATATATTAGTGAAAGTAATTATTATATAATAAATAATTATAAATTAAGACTAATATAACTTATTACTGTAATTAAAGTAAAAATAATTATAAATTAAATTTTTTAAAATAAGATTAAAGTGTGTAATCATTTTTCAAAAAATGATTTAAAATTTTGTAGTTTTTCTTTTTTAAAAAAAATTATACATTTTAATCTCATTTTAAATTTTTTAATTTAAAATTTTTTAAACTAATTAATTTTTTTAATCTTAATTTATAATTATTTATATTATAAAATAATTATTTTTACTAATATATTTTTAATTATCTACTAATTATATTTATTCTAAATAGTTGTGTGTATCGTGACCAGACATGAGATGAGGGAGTATAAAATTGTAATTTAAAAATTTTGAAAAAATATTTTGAAATCGGCAAATACCGTTTTGAGCTTGGCGAGATCATCTTTGGTAGGGGTGTCACGTGCGCCGCACACTCGGAGGACCTCCTCACGTGCCTGCTCTTGCCACGTGGGATGCATGGCGAGCAGCACCGTCGTCCACGTCAGCATGTTCGAGGTCGTTTGCTTCCCGGCGAACAATAACGTCTTGCACTCCTCTACGACGTCGTTTGCTGTTATAGTGATCGACGGCCACGATTCGCCGGCGCCGGAAGTGTATTGAAGACTCGCCTTGATCATCACTTCCAACAAATCTGAAGGAGACGACGGATCGGACGGCTCCTGACTTCTCATCCGTTGATCGATCACCTCCAGCAATGACTTTCGAACCTGTTTCTCTAATTTCCACGAAATTCTGTTCTTCTTCGTCGGTAAGAATCTGATCAATTAAAATAATTAATTAATACTCCAATATATATAATATATAAATATTGAGAATTTATATATACACATATATGATATATATATATCTACCTGTAGCCGGGGATGAAGATAGTCTGGTAAGCTTCGGCGGCTTGCGCCATCTGCTGAGACTGCAGCTTAAAAATGGCTCGGCCGGCTTCGTAGCTGCGGCTTCCGAAAACGGCTCGGATGATGGCGTCTTCGGACAAGTGTTGGAACCACTCGGAGACTTCAATTTCAACCTTTCCGCCGCCGCCGCCGCCGCCGGAGGTGGCGGCGGAATTCGACATTCCTTGGCTCCATTTCATTACAGCTTCTTCCATGCTTTTTGCCATCATTGGAGTCATCAACTATATATATAACATAGAAAGAGAATTTGGGATCAAAATTCTGGAATTGAAAATATTTTTTAATATATTAACAAAAAAAAATGAAATATTTAATTTAATAATGTTGAAAGAAAAAAAAAATAGTATAAGATCAAAATCAAATTCGAATATAAAACAGACTCTAAATAAAAATTGATGACATTCTTATTTTAATGTTACATCAAATAATATTTGTATTGTACATAAAATTAATAATTTAGTAGTAAATGACAGCATAGTCTTCACACGCGCATTCATTCCTTGGAATTTAAATGTGACAGTTCTTGTGATCATTTAATTTAAAATTTCTCATTTTTATTTAAATTATAAATATGAATAGAAATGAATTCTATTTTCTCCAAAACTAATTAGTGATGAATTATTATTTTAAAATAATTTAAATTTTATTATATATATTATTCACACACTATCTGCAGTCATTGTTAGTTTTGCTAAAGTGGCACTATTCGTACTCAACAAAAAATTGATTAGGTTCGGCCGGAGGTTTACCCGGTATGCATTTTCGGATAGTGGTTACGGATTATCACGTCATAAAAAAAATAAAAAAAATGAATAATAGCATAATTAGTACATAGACTGTTAATATTAAATTGATTTCCTCTAAGCAAACATTACAATTTTAAAAGTATTTATTTTTTTTTCTTAAATTAGTAAATACGTAAAATTGAATGAGAGAGAGAGAGAGAGAGAGAGAGAGAGAGAGAGAGAGAGAGAGAGCACATGGAGAGATGATATGTTGTCTTGAGATGTATGTAGATATCTCTAAGTTGTCTTTAAAATAATTATTTTTACAATTTATATATTACACAAAAATTCAACTCAATTATTCACGGATAAACTAATAATAATTTAAATATAAAAATTAAATTTATTAAATTATAAACTCTGTTGATGATAATATAGTAGAAAATTTTGTCAAATCTTAAAAGAGAACATTTGTTTTTACATCAAAAAATACATGGGAAAATTACAAACTCCAATAAAACTCTAAATCAGTTCATCAAATAAAAAATAAAAATAAATTTCACTTCAGGCCCCTTTCACTTCTAAACTCGTACCGTTTTTATCATTTTTATTTATCTCAATTCAAAATATAACTTTCATAATTTAAAAGAAATATTTGTATATTAATATCAAAATATTCTTTATTTTTATTTAAATTATAAATATAGCATTACTCATACAGTTACTTTATACATCAAACATAAAGTTCTTTCACTAACTAATACTGTAAACTTTTCATTTGGTACCGAGATAATAATAATATGGAACCAAAATTATAAATTAATGCTAAAATAGAGTTTTTCTAAAAATTATTTTAACTTTAAATTGAACAATAGTTTGAATGTAATACTTTTTAAAATAAAATAAAATATATAATTTTTTATTTTTATATTTACTATACACTTTCTTCATTTGTCCTTCAAATTCATTTACTTTCTCTGCTAGAGTAAAAGAATAATATCTATAATTTCTTTCTTTAAAAAAAATATCATTTTTATTACAAAATATTAAGTAAAATCTACTATTTAAATTAAAAATTAAAACTTTGAAAATAATAATAATAATAATAATAGATGATAGAGTACCTTGAGATTTTCTAGGTGAAAAATAGGCTGAATGATCCTTCTATGAAGAGCCCATTTATGAGCAGCGGGGAGATTGAGCAGACCATCTCCTTCAATCTCCCTTACCAATGGCGGCGACTCACATTTCTCGAACACCTCCGACGACTTCCCCCCCAATATCTCCACAATCATCGCCGGATCGCTCACCGTCACCCTCGCCGTCGCTCCGAACCATATCACCACCATCGAACCTGCACCACTAATTCAATTTCTTCAGCCAAAACTCATTCATTAATCATAATCCATATATATATATATATGTATAGCTTCTTCCATTACCTACCGTAGAGCTTCTTCCAATGGTGGTAGAAGAAGAGGACTCTGGGGAGGATATTATGGGAGAAATTATTAGTATTATTATTATTATTGTTGTTGGAATTGGTTAGGGCAGCGAGGTCTCTCAAATTCCCCAAAAAGAGTCGATACTTGGGGCCTCGAATCCCTTGCTTTAAATAGTGGTTGCGGATCCTTCTCGGCGCCCACCACACCCTCACGGCGGTGTACCACCACACCGCCGCCGCCGCCGCCGCGGCCACTGCCCAGGACCAGTGCTCCTCCATGCTTCTTCTTCTTCTTCGTTGAGTTCTTTCTTCAGGATTGGAGGGGCTGTGGGTGTGCTAGCTACCTAGCTGCATATATAATATATAATATATATATATATGTATATATATTGTAGGAGAGAGAGAGAGGAATTTGAGGTCAATGGTTTGGGGGATTTGAGAAAATGTGTGTATGGGGTGGCGTGGGGGGTGGGGTGGGGTGGGGTGGTTGTAATGACAAGATTGCCCTTTTGGAGTTCCCTCACGGATTAATTAACCCTTCTTCCAGGGTGTTTACTTTCGGATGTGTATGTTATTAGGACTTTGTTTTTATTATAATTTTTAAAAATAATAATTTAAATGTGATATTTTATGAGTAATATTTTTTAAAAATTATATATATATATATATGATAATTATATAGTTAGAGAAAAATAAAAGATTTAAAAAAAAAAAATTAGATTGTTTGAAATGATTTTTTTACCCTAATTTTATTTTATTTATCAATTTTAAGATAGTGTATATAAAAGATACATGTGTTTTTCAAAACTATAAGAGTGCAAAGAGAACAAAATTGGGTTGTTGAATGTGATCATTTGTGCTAATAAATAATATATTTCTATACAAAATTATATGGATTATATATATATATATATAAACATCAATTAAATATAGTTAAGGGCATATTTACTTGTATTTTTAATTTGTATTTTATATTTTATATTTGGGTTAATAACTAAATATGGAAAATGATGTCGATATATATATAAAAAAAGTATATACAACCTTTGTAGGCATCTTCTCACCTTTTTAATTTATTTCTTCAAAAATGTTATTTTTTATTTTTGCCTCGATGAAAAGGCAATAATAGTGTCATCATCCCACAATTTCAACTCTCACACTTATATTTACATCATGACAAATTGACAAATTAGGTTCATTTTAAAAATAAAATAAAATAAAAATAAAATTGCATAATATTAATTGTAGAATAGAAAATACTATAGAATAATGTGCAATTTGGAGGCATGCCCAATTATTTTGCAGTGGATTGCTCATATAATCTTGAAGAACAAGCAAAAATATAAATAATAAATAAAAATTTTTTAAAAAATATATATTGTATAATCTTTTTTATGTATATATCTTGTAATGTAATGAATGATTGTGTGAAATAATAGTTGGCCTTGGCACATGGAGGTTTGACTTTAGTTAAATTAGACCTTTTTGTACTTGCATAATTTGAGGTAATTATTTGGAATATACATATATATTAATACATATACACTATAAACTAATTCAATAAAATAATAAGTTTTTTTATTTTATTTTTTTTTTTTGTAAAAAATATATATAATAAGTTAACATTCCTTGCATTTCTGTAATAATAAATTCCAACCTCATAAATAACATGTGGTTCAACAGTTCAATTAACAACTAAAAAATATACTATATTTTAGTGAATTACTATTATATAAAATAATAATAATCAATATATTGATATTAACATATGGTTATATTTATTATAAAAAAAATATATATTAAAAAACAAAAAAAAAAGAGGAAAAAGATATGATCAATGGGATTGTCTTTATTGTTGTTGTTGTTGTTATTTACTTAAAAATTACCAAATGATCATTTTCAATAATTTAGGGTTTGTTCATTCTTTTTTTTTTTTTTTTTCTCTCTCATTTTTTTTAGTTTCAATCTTTTAATTTTTATTTAAAATTATGACATTCATTATCTATTATCTTTTTTTTAAAAAAAAAAATATCGTATGGATAATAAGAGTAAGATGAATTCTATAAATGGGAAACAACCGTCGCAACAAAAGGGAGGTCAAGATCAATGAATTTTTGTCGTATTTTTTTCCACACAATAGCCCTAATTCAAATATTCAAATGTTGACAACATACGATCTCGTTCCCATTCCGACGAAACGAACTTAAGACTTTGTAATAAATGAAAATAATGTTGAATCAAATTGAAATTTTGTTTTATTAGTATGGGAATGTCTTCTCCAATTTCCATACACCAATTTGTTGAGGCCATTCATAGTTTAATTCAAATAAAAGAGGGTTAGGTTTATATTACAAAAAACAAACATTATATTTTAATTAATTGATGAATGTGTTGTCCTGTCCAATTCAATCATCTATTGGCATATATATATGAACATGTGTAAGTGTGTGTTTTGGAAGGATACACTTCAATGGAGGCACATGGGAACAAATTAAGGGTTTAGCTTAGTAGTAGAATTTTAATTAGAATAATTAATAAAGTATAATTATATATATAAATCCTTTTTTTTATGATTATTATTAATGATATGATATTGATGATGCCTTGGTTGTCCCAAACAATGGGTTCCCCATGTTAGGGCACTTGCATTTATCTTGTCTTAATACTCCAAAACATCATGGGGGAGGTGGCCATTCTCTTTCACTTTCTAGTTTCTCACTCTACACCACCCCCCAAACATGCCCTTATGCTAATGCCCTATGTCTTCCACTTCCAACAACATATATATATATATATATACACATATAGAGAGATAATGTGTGTGCACATTTTTTGCGGAAATTCCAGGAAATTAAGAAGAGACAAACACGAATACAAGAATTTGGTAATCCGGTTTGATCAGAATGATCTACGTTTTGGGCACGCTGTCAAGCCAGAAATTTTATTATAAAGTACGCAGACACGTGTTAAAGTGAAAATACATGGATATTTATAGGCAAAGCATGCCAATAATATTCAAATCATACCTCTAAAATCTATAATATAATATCGAAATCATATCCCTAGATTTTATGATATAATCAGGCTTCATATCTCAACAACATTTTGTATTATGCTCCCTCCGTCCCGGTCCAAATGGGCTTTTTGAGATTTTGTAGTAGATTAAAAAATAATAATATTTTATTAGTTAGTGTAAGAGATTTTGATATTTTTGTCCTTTAATTTATGTGAAAAGTAATTGGATGTTCGTAATTTAGATAAAAGTTGAGTGTATTTTGATATTGACGTATGATTGCTTTTACTAAAATAGAAAAATGATACTTTTGAGTGAGACGGGCAAAAATGATAAAAAAGATACTTTGAGTTTGGACATAGGGAGTATATGAAATTTAGGTTTTATTTGATCTATAAGAGTGGCCAAATTTATAATCGCAAGATTATGGGTTTAAAATTTTGCCAATGTTTTTTCAATCAAATGTCATACGCTACAAGAAAAAATTATTTTTGTAACTGTTACGTACGAAATTTAGAATTAGGTTAAAAGCCCAAGGTAAAAAGAAGAATGGGCCTGGCAATAGAGTTGGTTGAACTGGCTGAAGGACACCGTGTGGAAATCAAAGAAAATACAGGACGGAAAGACCTCAAGTCGGAAGGTTTTCAGGTCGGGAGGTCCTCAAGACGGAAAGACCTCAAGTCGGAAGGTTTTCAAGTCGGGAGGTCCTCAAGACGGAAAGACCTCAGGTCGGAAGGTCTTCAGGTCGGGAGGTCCTCAAGACGGAAAATCATCAGGACGGAAGGACCTCAGGTCGGTAGGTCCTCAAGACGGAAAGACCTCAAGTCGGAAGGTTTTCAGGTCGGGAGGTCATCAAGACGGAAAGTCATCAGGGCGGAAGGACCTCTGGTCGGTAGGTCCTCAAGACGGAAAGTCATCAGGACGGGAAGTCTGCAGGTCGGGTGGCCTTCAGGACGGAAAGTCCGCAAGTCGGGAGGTCCTCTAATCCAAACAAGTCAGATGGTTTGCAAGTCGGGAGGATTGGCAGTCGGACCCATACTATTGTAGATTGGCAGTCGGGCCAAAAGGGCGGAAGGTCTGTGGTCGGCTCAAAGAGTGAAATATAGGGATAATTTTGGTCTGCTGAGGACACGTGTCAGCAGGAGAAGGGTTGGAAGACGGTTGGGAAGGAGACGTTGTAACCGTTCGGGCGACGGTTTTCAGTACAGTTTCTTCAAAGACTATTTAAGGATTTGGATAATCATTTGGCAGGGCATCTTCAATCAACTTCAACAAAGCAAAGTCAGATTTGGGGATCACCACTTTAAATTTCAGTCTTTTATTTTCCAGTTTATTTTCTGTACCATACAGTGTTTAGAGATTCCTAATCTCAGACACTAATTAATCAAGTTTAAGGATATTTTCTATATCTTTGAATTTTACTTTATTTTTGTTGAAAAATTACATCAACAGTAACAAAATATTTTTGTCTCTAAATCTACTTTTTTCGTTACTAATGACATTAGAGACAAAATTATGAATGGAATTACATTAGCTACGTGAACTTTAGGGACGGAATTCTGTTACAAATATATTATTTTTTTGTAGTGATATACAATTATTTTTGTTCTTGTCTTAACTTGTTAGTATAATTTGTATGTTATTGCGTTCGATTCAAAGATTTACGATGTAAAAAGAAAAAAATAGGGATTTTTATTTGTTTTAATTGTAGTCTTTTTTTTTTTTTTTCTTTTTTTTAACTTGTGTGTTTTTAATATGTTTACTATTTAGTTCAAAATTTTGAAAAATATTATATTCAATATTTACTTTTAACTTAAAATATTATTTTAACAACTATTTTATTTAAAAAATACAATAATAAAAAAACAGTAAAATAAACACCCTTGGGTGTTACATCAACGAAATGAAGATGTGCAATGAAGGCACTAACAAAATTAAATAATACGTAAAAGGAAAAGTATTCTTTTTAATGTTCCGTTAGGTCATCTAATAAGTAGTTGAAAATATTTTATGATATAGTATAAGAATATAAGGTTTTTTTTTTTTTAATAGGGTTTGGTTATAAAAATTTTAATTTTTTATTATGCAATTATAATTAGAAATATACTCACAAAATTACATGGGCCTGTTTGGTTTTGTTTTGAATTTAAATTTTTTATTTAAATTTTGATCTAAATAATATTTTGATATAATATTTTATAAAATAAAATAATATATATTTTTTTTATTAGGATATTAAATAATGGTATTTTTTGTAATAAAAAAATACGCACATTAAATTGGAAGAGTTTTAATAAATTCATGTAATTTATCATTTTTATAATATAATACATTTTTATAAAAATTATATCTTTGGTTTGGAATAAAAAGACTACA